GAATTCTGGGAGTTGAAGCCCACTCATCTTAAAGTGGCCAAGTTTGGACAACACTGGCCTAAGTTAATCTTGTTGAGATGGGAGCCACACTGGGAGTCTTGTGAGCACACTGTGGGGACTCAAAAATGCTGCCAGGGAAGTTAACTTGCTCATTTTCAAGCCTGCTGTTTGGTCTCAAAGTGCAAAATTTCTTTGATGCCATGTATAATCTCATTCAGATTTCCCACCATGTATAAGCAAAAATCCCTCTTCGCCACTCCCAATATACTTCTATTACAATTAAAACATTCCAGATATGGAATATAATATCTATCAATGTTTTTAAAGATGATTTTTGCTTCCATCTGATACTTTAGTTTTCAGTTATTTTTGCCATTTTCTTTTTATACTTTGCAAAACTGCTTTTATGATCATAGAAGAGACCATCTGGAGAAATTCTCCCATTGGACCAACTGCCTTGAGATGTAAAGCAACAGTGGAATACAGAGGTAAACTGATTTTTTTTTCTTATGAGGAAGAGTGAAATAAGACTGCAACATACATTTTAGTCCAGGTTAGAATTTAAAGGATGATAGTTGTATTTTACGGAAACGGTCCATTAAGGCCATCCAGTCCAATCTCCTGTAATTGGTTGCAGGAATAATTATTTAGTACTGATCAGGCAGGAATCCAAAGTGTAGTAAAGCGTCCCAGACAGACTGCCTACCTTCTGCCTGAACACGCCCAGCGAAGCGGAACCTTCCGCTCTTTGTTTCTGAGCCCAACTGCTCTTTCTCTTAGGAAATTATTCCTTACTTTTAACTGGAATCAGTCTTTAATCTTTTATTCCGTGTCCTCCGTTTCTTCTGCATGATACCCCTTCAAGTATCTGAACAGTGCTCTCATTCTCACGCCATCTTCTCTTCTCAGTTAAACATTCAATCTCTCTTTCTAGGACAATTTCTAGTCCCCTAATCATCCAAACCGCCCTTTCCTGAGCTAGTCCCAGTTGGATTTGAATCCTCCTTGAGTCTGATGCCCAGAATTAGACACAATACCCAAGGTGGAGCTGACTAAGACAAAATAAAATGGAAGGACTGCTTCCCATGATTTGGAAACAATAATATTATTGAAGCAGCCCAGAATTACATTTGGCTGATTTGCAGTCAAACCACGCCGCTGATTCATACTGCATTTGTAATCAATTATTATTTCAAGATCTATTTGCAAATGGTGTTGTCAAGCTAGGTATCCCTTACTCTTTATCTATGCATTTGATTTCTGCTTCCTATTTTGATATTCTCAATCCATTTCTCTAATGCATCAAGATAGTTTTGAATTTTGTTTTCTAAAATATTAGATTACCCCACCCCCAATTCTATGCCATCTGCAAATTTGATCAGCATTTGTTCCTCCTCTTATTCCAGATCATTAATACAAATACTGAAGAAGGGAGGAGCCAGGACTAATCCTTCCTTGTGGCATCCCAGTACCTCTTTCAATTTGATGACTTAATTGTATCCACTTAATTGTTCTGCTATCCATCTTTCAGGTGAAGATTTTAATCTAGATTTCTATCAGAAAGTTCTGTTTCAGGCATGACTTTATCTGTTAATGATACAAAATTTCATTCAATGATCAGTCATCTGAGAGAGATTATACTGAGGGCAGAAAGTACCCTTGAATGGTTTCCCTTCCCATATTATCCTAAATGCCTAATACTGTACATAGATCAGGACCTGAAAATATTTCATCCCATGAGATGAATGAGAAAATGTTTCTCCCATGAGAAAAATAAAAATTATGGGGCCAAAAATTTTTAAATTTCTGCCATTCATCAGTTGAAAGCTGGTTTGGAAGGAAAAAGAAAAAAAGGAAGCAGCAGCAGTTGAAGGAGAGACAGAAAGCCAGAAAAGGAAGAGAGAAGAGGCGCGAGGTCCAGCCGGAACCAGGAGGCCAGTGGGAAGCAGCGCGAAGCAACCCTTGGTGGAAAGCTGGGAGAACACGGGGGGCCTAGGAAGACCCTCGCCTGACCTTTGGAAGCCCACATGAATACTACCTCTGCTTGGTTGGTAACTATAAGAAAAATAGAATGTAGGGATTAAGTAAGGGGGGGGAAGTAAGATTGAGGTAGGAAGAAGATTCCATAGAGAACTCAGGAGGCAGGAATTGATAAAGATGGACGACGACTCCCTTTCTCAACCTCGCATATAAGTTTAGAAAAGAAAATTTTAGAAAAGGGAACACACGCAATCATGCAGTTTTATTTATATATGCATTTTTTTATAAAAATGTGTTCCTTGACTATGCTTTCTTTTGTCCTGCATCTACACACTCACTACTCAGAGCTGGCAAAGGTAGATTTGAGGTCTTGTGGGCAGTGGGGATTTGATTCTTTTCCCTCCAGAAAAGGCATTCAATTAGGGTCTGGATAAGGATACATACGTTCAGGTCCCTTCACCCTCCGGCCCACGTTGTAACCACGTGGGAACTGCCTCTGGGTGGGGCAAATGTATCCTCTTGCCTTTCTTCCAGAACAGAAAAGAGATAATTTCCATTGTATTCTGCTGATGCTTCATTGGTTGTGGTTGCATGATATGCTTGCTTGCGGTTAATTAAATATAGTTTATTCAATTAACTCTATTTTTGAGGTTGCAGAACAGACGCAAGCCAAAATTAAGCACAGTTTGCCCAACACATTAGTCTAAAATATGGGTGGCCAGTTTATGGTTCAGTGTGGCAGCTGAAGTGCACAGGTTCTGCTTTTCTCCATTGGCTTCTACAGACAGCATCCCGTGATGAAATCAGTCTGGTCCATTCCATTCCCAGCTTGAATAATACCCAAATCCTTCACTTGAGGCAGCTGCTTTTACTTAGGATTGCCTAAGATCTGAATCAAAGCAGAAGACCGATAATCAGCCTCAAATTGTACAAATAAATAAAGCTGGATAGCCGTCTGTCTGAAGAGCTTTAGCAGTTCCTGCCCTGATATGGGCTAATGACCCTACCCTTTTCAACTCTATGATTCCATGATACACATTTTAATTGTTGCCTTTGTTCTCTACAGTTAATGCAAAGTCCACATTTCCACATTCTTCCTGTCATTTAAATTACTTCTGGCAATTTTCCCACTTCATCTTATATTCAGCCTAATCAACTATAATCTTATATCACCAGCTGAATGGTTCCATAGGAACTACAAGGTCTCAGGGACTTAGCAACCAGAAGCATCGGATGCTGCAGCCACTTTTTATATATCCTGTCTGCAATATCAGGTGGAACCTCATGAACTTGACATCTAGAAGTGACAAGAGTTCACCAAATTTATTTTTGTCTTTCCTTCTGAGAGTAGACGCAATTCCAGGATTGAAGTCTGAGAGGAAACAGAGAAGAGAGGAAGAAAGAGAAATCCCTCAGCTGCCAAGCTCATTACATTCTGCGCCTTTTAAACTTACTTTAATGTTGTGTTTTATGTACAGGAATCCCACTGGCTTGACTAAGTTAAGACTCTGATCCTGTGACACTTACTTCTGTACCTCTAAAATAATGTGACTTTAGGCACACAAGAGGATTTTCCAACTTTCTGATCATTAACATTTGATTACAGTGTTGATAGCTGGGATAATTAATCAGCTAAACAGATTTTAATTGTCCCCAAAACAGATTCTGCAAATGAGGAGAAAGACCAAAGAGTTCTTATGGGCAGATTACCATTTCATCTCCCCAAAGAATTATGAGGCCCTTTTTGTATTCAGTTTGCAGACTCTTGGCTGGCTGAGTCAATCACGTCACACAAATCTGCCCCAGCAACCTGAGAGTGTTCAGCCCTGAGACACGCCGGGTACACTGTGGACCGCATGACGTCATTCAGGTCCAGACTGCTTCAGGCTGTGGATGGAAGTCTTCAGAATTAAAAGCTTCCCTTCATAATGAAACAAAGAAATGAGCAAACTATCTGCAGAGAAACCTGGCACTTCGTGAAGACGTCTAAGCCAAAACTCCTGTGTTGCTTTTTTACAAGCAGGGAATTTCTTGGTATAACAGTACAGCCTACCACGTGAGGCCATATTCTTCACTTGCTATTTGTGAAAAATATTCCTAAATCTTTCCCACTTTCTTTCACAACACATTACTTCTCTTGAAATCCTCCTTGCCACCTCCTGGGACCGCTCTTTCTTCTTCAGAAACTTTTACATTCTAAACCTCGCCTAACAATAGAGACTGAAAGCAAGGCTCTGACTGGCTGCTAGTGAGCTCACGCCATTTTCAAGAAACGCTCCTTTCCCTTCTAAGAAAGGATGACATTTCATGCATTGAGAGAATCAATGAAGGCAGACATTTTTCAACTACCTCCCTTTAGTACTTTGCAAGAGCTCATAAGCATAAAATATGAAATGAAATGAAATGAAATGAAATGAAATGAAATGAAATGAAATGGAAATGAAAGCTGTTATTCCACATCCAGAAAGCTGCTTTGCAGGCAGAAACTCCCAGCCCCAGTCCTGACCGGGGAGCAGGGGATGGGAAAGGCTTTTCCCTTTTCCAAGCTGCTCACCCTGTGAAGAAGGCATCTTCTTGACGAGCTGTCCAAGAGGCCAGCCCAAACAAATGCCATTTCAGGTTTCATTGCCATTATAATAACCTGAAAAGTTACTCCTGTGTAGGGGTGTCTGCAGGGTATGGTCAAAAAAGAGAAGATGATGGTACAGTTGGAACTCCACCTGTTTTTTATGTGCAGTGCACACCCCTGCTTCCATAATTTAAAAATGGAAAAAAAATTATGGCCCATATTCACCTTCCAAGCTCTGCCATTTACTAAAACCAGTATTATTTCAAAACCAGAATGTATATGCCTCCTTCCAAAGGCACGGCTCCCTGTGTCCAAAGGTAGAAAGCAATTGATATGATGCCTACTAAACAGTTCTCAACAAGAATATAAATCCATGACTTTTTTTGATGAGAGGAGAAATCTTTGCCAAACCCAGCCCATTCAGGCATTCTACTGGGATATTTTGGTCTGAGATCAACTGTTTCCTAACAATATCTTTATCAGTGCCAGACAGGTAAGGCTGGTACACGTTGAGGAGACATACTGGATCAAAGCTAAAAGAACCATGTTTTATCATACGCCTCCCAAGGCAGATACAAACTCTGATCACCGTATAACTGGAGACCATATCATTGACTAATATACCTGGACTCACACACTTCCCTATTCAAATCCCTATTCCCTATTTACCATTTCCAAGGTAAAACTCACATTTACAATTGACAGAAAAATTAAGAGCTAGTCAGCAGGAGAACCATTTTGCCATACCCTTGACTCATTATGATGACAGTGAGGAGGAGGATGAAGAAGAAAAGGACTGCTGGAGACCAAAACAGGCCTCAGAAATCGAGGTCCCTTCTGAGATTCCCTGGTTCTTACGGAGTGTAGCCTCAGCACTCTTTTTCTTTAAGAAAGCAGCTCAGGGGGGTAGAGGAGACGGCTCACGCTTCAGCGATTCCCTCTTAAGGACGCCCCACCATCAGAGATGGAGAGGTGGCTTTTCTGCCAATACCAGAACAGGGACGGGCTTCTTTAAGAGAGGCGCAGCAGGCAATAAAGCAGGAGGAGCAACCAACCTCATGACAGGGCTCGCTCACTTCCCCCAGGCTTCCTGCCAGCCGGCAGCATGTGCCGAAGGCAGAGTCTGAAGAGGGGGCTGGGCCGGGTAGCAGCCGATGAGTCACCGACCAGTGGGAGGACCCTCACGTTGCAGCTAGCTGGGGCAGGAGCCCTTCTAGCAAGACGCTTCAGGCAGGGAGCCTCTTAGACCGCAGCAGCAGCCAAGTGTACAAAAGCATGGAACTGATTTATCAACCAATTCACTCGCACAAGGATGAAACAGGAGCACACTCTGGATCGTCTTTTGGAACAGTGGTTACTCTGAACAAAGAAAAATATTAATGGAGGTTGGAAAAATAGCATTAGAAAATATTTTTCGAGGCACCAAAACCCCACTTGAACAGAAACTGTCAAATTACATCAACTCTTTTTTAATGCTGTAAGCCATTTTGGAAAGACCCTCAGCTAAAAGATGGCTAGGAAGTAGAGGAAATACAATGCATCTAAGCAAAACTTTATTCACAAAGAAAAGCAGGTTCAGGTTAGCCATGAAATTCATTGTCCTACTGAGCGACAGCGGGAATGAAAACGGCCTACATTCCACAACATTTAGGTACCCGATCTCCAGAGAAGCCCAGCGCCTTCACCAGGAGAGAGGACTGACACTGCAGGCTGGGACGAGAGCTCCCTCCATCCAGTCCGAGCCCCGGTGACTTCACCTGCGCCCAAGCTCGCGGTTTTCTCAGCACTCGCTTTCCTACAGAAAAGAACGCCACTCCTGCAGATGTTCTTCCAGACTATTTTATAAGTCACTGTGGGGAGGGGAAGGGAAGAGGGGAAGCCCCTCCTTCTGCCCGGGAAATTCTCTCACGTCCTTTGTGACTCCCAAGCATTAGTGACAGGAACAGTACTTCCCAGATCTTCCATCCGCATCTTGCCAGCATACAAATTTAACTCACAGGAGCATCCGCTGACAGTTAATACGAACTTGCATTTGGGAGGCACTGCTGCCAGACTCCAGATACAAACTGTTGTCCTAACAAGCAGAGAAAGCCCTTCAAAGCCTTGACCCCAGCAGAAGAAGAATCCCTATGGTAGAGGGGCGGTTTTAGAAGGGCACCTAAAGGTACATGAGCTACCCTGGGCAGAAATGTGGTGTTGCTTTGTCTGTTCTGTAAGCATTTATTGCATTTAAATTAATTCCACAGTAGTGTTCTCTTTTGTTTTGTTGTAAACTATCTCGCACCCGCTGCTTTGCAACTAAAAGTGTAAAATAAGCCAGATGTTTAAACTAATGGCTAAAGTAAATAACTGAATGTTTAATATCCCCAATTTAAATTTGTGGACTAAGCTACCCCGCTGCTTCACGCATTGCACTTCTCATCCTCTAGGACTAAGATCACAATTCCACATCTGCTTCCTTAAGAGAAAATCCATCTAACTTTAAATGGACTTACTACACACACACACACACACACACACACTTAAATTACAGACTACTAGACATGTATGTGAACCATGAAGCAGTTTACAACAGTAATATATGAAAACAATGGATGAAATGTGGTCGACCATGGGAACATGATGGACACAATATATCTTGTTCTCAGTAAAGCATTCAACAAATCTCCTGTAAGATCCAAGTACAGAAGACAGCAACATGTGGGCTGGATGCTGCTACCATCAAAGGGCTACAGAATTGGTGTCCAGCAAGCATATCTCAATGGCGCCACATCAAGTTGGAAGATGGGGTTGATGCCACAGATCACTTTTCTAGGCCCTGTGCTGTACAACATATTTATAAATGACTTGGATGAGGGTTTAGAAACTATGAATATCAAATTGTGGATGACATACAGAGACAGGAAAGACAGCAAACAACTTAGAGGACAGTATCAAAATTCAGGAGAAATCTGACAAACTAGAACAATGGGAAAAAGTCAGCAAGATGAATTTATCAGGGACAAATGCAAAGTTCCATTTTTGGGCAGGAAAAATCAAGGACATGAGTATAGGATGGGTGGAATCATACTGGGCAGCAGAACATGCAAAAAATATCAGGATATGTATTGTCGAAGGCTTTCATGGCTGGCATACGAAGGCTGGTGTGGGTCTTCCAGGCTGTGTGGCCATGTTCTGGAAGTTTTGTTTCCTAACGTTTCGC